GTGCATTCCACCTGAGTGCAACACAATGGAACACGGTCATTGATACGTGAACCTATATTACAATATTCAAGAGTTTGATAGATTAATACTAACCAGTCGATCAATTCCAAGACATTTCGCTGACCTTCTCTGATCTCTTTAAGGATACCACTGGTCAGTTTTAACATGCTCAACTTTACAAGTAATAAAATACTACTCAAAAACCGTTGCAGTCAAAATTCGAACTCGTATTCTACAAAACAATGTGATGTTAATTAGTACTAAAGAGTAAAATAGAAAACATTTTGTGGTCCAATCTTATAAATGCCATGTGCAATTAAAGCTTGCATTTGAACATTATCATGAAGAAAACAGAAAAGCCAATACAAGTAGTGATATAATAGAAGTACATAGTATTGAGTTTGGCTTCATAAGGAAGTTTGATTTTGATATCTTACTAACTCCTGCCACCTCTACAAACCTCAGGTTACAGAAAATCCAATGCTCTCTCATAACATCATGTATGGTTCCATACTTTCATTTATTGTAACAAAACACATGAGTTACATGAATGAACCAAACCTAAGCACATGATTATTATTATTTTTTGATTAAGCATCTTAATAAAGCATGTGATGTTACATTTTGAATACCAACACATGATGCCAGATATTCAGATATAGATAATCTATTTAGACTCAATTTTAGCAATTTTCAACATTTTCTACTGTGAAATGTTGACTTGTTCAATTCATATTTTACTTAATGTTGAAGAATAAAAGAAAAATATAACTATAAAAGTGAGATACTCTGCAGAAGAATAATACTGTTCTTAGGACATAGATACATCTCTTTCTATTAAACAATGTAAGATAGAAATTCAACAGTATATTGTTTTTTAACCAAGGAAAGTTCATGCATGTGGTGTCACATGGACATTTCTTCATCATTGAAACAACTGGCTCTGTCTTTAATTGCTGACATTTTGCTTGTTTTTTTGTATTAACTATACAAGTTTGAATTTGACATCATTATTTTTCTTAGCATTCATTGACATTACCAACAGTTTGATAAACTATAGTTAAAATATTAATACTTTTAGACTTTCATTCACCACTAACTATATTATATAGCCAATCAATTAACACTGATCATTAATGGATTACCATGATTCTATTAATAAAGTTATTTTATCTAACTAGGTAGAATATATATAATGATTAGAGTCGTTTCAGATACAGTTACAATAGTTCGTCCTCAAAAACGGCCCTGATAATGTTGTACACTTTGAAGTTTGAACTTTAAGAACATGCAATGTTGTTACTAAATATGTTTCACGTTGAGAGATCTAAACTTACTAGTTTTAGCTATACATAAACACATTTCAATCTTATATGATTAGTTTGCAAGCATGTTATAATGTGGTCCACTATGCTAATTGATAGCACAAGGCTTCACCTATAATTATGTCCTATAGTGATTTTACAATGTGAATATCTGAAAAATAATGGAGAATGAGATGAAGAGAAAGGTAGAATGGAGTTTTCTTTTGTTGGTGGGAGTTTTCCATTTTCACAATGAGATAGGCATGTAGGGTACTGTGAGAAATAAATGCACTTCAACGCTTCTTTTGCTTTAATAATGAATGCATAGTGAGGAAAATAGAACTTATATATGAATAGTATGAAAGCACAAAGATAATGGGAATACATGAGAATCAATAACTCAGAACTTCAGTACTAGCCACATAGACACTTCCAACTTGTGTACTTCAAATCTATAATGCAAGATATTCATACAACAGTTATATTAAAACAATATCAATAAAATCATATATGTTATGATATATGACCCGTGTCTATGTCTGACTTATGCGATATGTATCTGACAAGTGCATTCTTTTCTTTTGACAAACAACCTTATCACCAATTTATATAAGATACAACACTCATTAAAAAAATATGAATATCTTTAAAATTGATGTATTCGAGAGTTGTTTATGTCCGACTAAACAACGAGTGCTTCTCCTTTTTGTTCGACAAAGAGTCTTATTACCGATATATACTATATACAATATTGAAATTGAAACATACAAATATCTCTAAAATAGACACGTTCTAATGTTTGACACATGTCTATATCTGATTCGTACAATATGTATATGACAAGTACGTCCCCTTTCTGTTTGATTCAAAGTCTTATTACCAATATATACCAGATACAACATTCATATTGAAACATATGAATATCTCTAGAATAGACATGTTTCGATGTTTGACATATGTCTATGTCTGACTCGTGTATATAATAAGTGCATCCCCTTTTTATTTGATTCAGGGTCTTATTACCAATCTATACTAGATACAACACTGATATTGAAACATACAAATATCTCTAAAGTAAATAGATTTCAATGTCTGACACATGTCTATGTCTGACTCTTATGACTCCCCTTTTTGTTTGACAAAGAGCCTTATTATCCATCTATACAAGATACATTTGTGATATTAAAACATACATATATTTTTAAAGTAGATATATTTCGATATCTGAGATGTGTTAATGTCTGACTCGTTACGAGGTGTGTATTAGATAATTGCATCATTTTTGTTTGATAATGCTAATCTAACTCTTTCATTAATATGCTTTCATCAAAGTACTATTACCTCATAAAAGAAGGTAGAAAGTGAAAATTAGGATAGTAACAAAACCATATAAACTAAGAAGGTAAATCAACTTTATGGAGCCAATTAGGGTTTACCTCTTAACTCCTAAGATTCAAAATATGATGTATTTCAAGCATATGATTCAATAGGACCATTTTTGGAGTCAAATATATTTATAGTATAAATCATCATTTCGTCTGCATTTATTTTCATATCTAAATTAGAAAATTTATTTAATTTTCCATGTGCAACACTGTGGTAAGACATTGATAGGTTCCATATTATTTTGGTTGTGTTACACTAATGATGAAAACTATGTCAACGACTGAAAATTTGAAATTTATTTATATGACAAAGTTCTTACATGA